CTTGTCAAAGGCCTTCTTGAACTCCAGATAGATAACATCTACCTCAACTTCTGCATGTAAACAATTAGTGGCCTTGTCGTAAAAGGAAACTAGGTTAGTCAGGCAGGACCTGCCTGCTAAAAACCCATGTTGTTTACTCCTCCACATCACATTAGTCAGCGGGCTCTCACAGATGTGCTCCTTGATAATTTTTTCTAGGATTTTCCCAGGGATAGAGGTAAGGCTGACCGGTCTATAGTTCCCCGGGTCCTCCTTTCTCCCCTTATGAAACATTGGGACGTTAGCCCTCTTCCAATCCTCCGGAACCTGACCCGAGTGCCATGAGTACTTACATATCTTTGCCAGCTATGACCCCCGCTAAATCCTTCATTACCCGTGGGTGGAGTCCCTCCAGTCCCGGTGATTTGAATACATCCAGTCCCTCCAAGTGTCTTTTTACTGTGTTGGCACTGACCATTGGTCGGCTGATGTTCCCTTTGTTGGCATCCATGATGTATGTTGAGGGTTTGTCTAGGTTCCCATTTAAGAAGACAGAAGCAAAAAACTCTTTGAAGATCTCTGCCTTGTCCCTGCTATCCATCACTAAGTCCCCCTGCCCGTCCTATATGGGACGCCACACCCTCTTTTTGCTCCCAAAGTACCTAAAGAATGACTTTTTATTGTCCTTAATCCCTGATGCTATCCTGAGTACTAGAGTTGCCTTGGCCTTCCTGACTGACTTCCTGCAGGTGCGGGCCAAAGAAGTATACTCCTCTTTGCTAGCTACCCTTTGCTTCCATTTCCTGTACGCCTCTTTTTTTTGCCCTTAAGGTATCTTGGATGCCCCTTGTTATCCAAAGGGGCTTCCTGGCCCCCTTGCCCCCTTTCCTCTCCCATGGGATTGACTCACTCTGAGCCCAAAGAATCGTTTCCTTGAGGAATGTCCACCCATCCTGGACCCTCAATGCATCTAAGTTCTTAGCTCTTAGCACCCTGCTAACCAATCCCAAGTCTATTAAATTCATCTTTTTTAAAGTTCAGCACCCATGCCCTGCTGCGTATAATGCCTGCCCTTCACTGGATAGTGAATTTAATCATTTGGTGATCACTGCCCCCCAAGTTGCCTTGAATCCACAGGTCCCCCACCAGGTCATCCCCTGTGGCCAACACCAAGTGGAACAAGGCATTGCCCCTGGTGGGACACTTTACCTCCTGTGTTAGGTGGAGGTCCTGAATACAGGTTAAAAACCTGAGAGAGCGGTTAGATCTAGCTGACTGCTCATCCTAGCATATGTTTGGGTAGTTAAGGTCCCCCATGACTACCATATCACTAGACCTTACAGCCTCTTTGAGCTGCTTGGAAAATTCCTGGTCTAGCTCGTCATCCTGGTGCGGCAGCCTGTAGTAGACCCCCACCACCAGATCCCTTTCACCCTGAGCCCCTAGGATCCTAACCCACAGAGTCTCTGCTTGACCACCCTCTGACCCTAATTTGATTAGGGAAGATGTGTACTGTTCTTTGATATAGAGAGCAACTCCCCCACCTTTTTTCCCTACTCTGTCTCTCCTATATAACCTACAGCCCTCTATTCCCACCAGCTGTGAGAAGAGTCCCACCAGGTTTCAGTTAGTTCCACTAGGTCAAAGTTGTTGCTCACTAGCAAGAGCTCTAGATCCTCCCGCTTGTTTCCCATGCTTCTGGCATTTGTGTATATATACACCTAATCCCCTGGTGGCTGTCCCTGGTCCCCCCCTTAAACTGCTGTCTAATAGGATCTTTGCTGCGTACCTGGGTTGATCTTGTGGGTATCTCTTGGTTCGGTGTACTGTGGCTCCCTCCGACCTCATTCTCCCCTTCTTCGGGCGAACCTAGTTTAAAGCCTGCCGGAGGAGATCAGCCAACCTGAAAGAGGACACACACTTACCTTTGAGGAGAGAGGTGAAGTGCATCCCATCCAGGCATGTCTCTTGTTCTGAAGTATGGGTTACGGTCCAAAAAGCCAAAGCTGGCCTCAAGACACCATTTCCAAAGCCGCAAGTTGACCTCCCTGATGCAGGTCTCGTGGCGTTGTCCAAGTCTGCTCACTGAAAGAACAAATGAGAAGACCACCTGCGCCCCTGTCTCCTTCAGCTTGTCCCCCAGAGCTTTGTAGTCCTTCATCAGGCAATCTGGGCTGCTCCTGGCCACATCATTAGTGCCCACATGGATTAAGACCATGGGGTAGTAATCCGTGGTCCACACAAGGGCCGGGATTGTCTCCATCACGTCCCGAATCTGAACTCTGGGCAGACAGGAGACCTCGCGTGTCATGGGATCCTGGTGACAGATGGGACCCTCTGTTCCTCTCAGGATGGAGTCACCTATGACAAGTACCTGGCATCTCTTCTGGGTCAACTGGCCTCCTTCAGTCTGTTCTGTGCATGGAGTGGCCTCCTCTCCAAGGGTTTCCTCCTCTCCTTCCTCTTCCTCCAGTGTTGCCAGGGCTTCATACCTGTCCCCCAGCTGGACTGAGGGAACTGATACTGCACCACTGCAAGCAGCCCTGGTTCTGGAGGGAACCTTCTGCCATTCCACTGTGGAGGGCACCTCCTGGGACTCTTCTCCCTTTTGGTGCTTGGCCCTGCAGGGAAAGGAAATACCTGTCAGCTTTGTCCTCTGCTTCTCGTGTGGGACAGGTGGGGGGAGTCCCATTCCCGCAGGACTTAAATTTATTCAGCTAATTGCAGCTGTTGTTCCCAGTAATGGCTTACAGTGATGGAGCAAAATATGTAGTCACTTAATCAGACAGCAGTAGATTGGGTGTCCTGTTCACAAGCTCTGGTATAAACATCATCATCCTCTCTTTCTGTATGCACCACAATTGTAAAATTAATTAATATCAGAGTAGGAGAGTAGTTTATAATGTTGACGTCTAAATGTTTTATGATCAGCAACCTGATTGAATCTGTTCATGCAAAGAGGGAGAGTTGATCTTGATCTGTTGAAACCTCCCATAGTGATTGCAGCATACAGACAGAATTTTTTTACTTAACCTCTGCAACCAAATTTTCTTTAACTGACCATGAAGGAACCTTCCTGAGGCAGATCAGACCTAAAGCCTGGACCTAAAGACTGCCATTGAATTCGACTCAGTTTAATTCCACTACGGTTATCTGTGGCAGGTGTACTGATGTACTCTACCCAGGGAGGCGGGTAGAAGAGTGAAGCAGATCACCTACTTCAATTGTTTGTGCTGAATGATGTTCAGGCAGTTAATTGGTACTCAGAGGCAGAGTCATTTTTGTTTAAATATTTCATTAATGGCCCAAGGTGTCATGAATTCCCATGGGTGGTACTCATAGGTGGATTCAGGATTTTGAAAAGGGGTGTGTGGAAGCAGCAACCAGTGCTGCAGAGGGGCTGCACCCCTGCTTCCAGCATGCCCCCCCACCCCATGCTGGGCAGTACATACTGCAGGAGCAACAGCTGGGGATTAGCTTTAAGTCCCCAAAGCAATTAAGACTCCCCCACCCCTGGTCTCAGCACCCACCCCCTATGATCAGTGCCATCTCTTCCCCCCTGCCTTGCCCTCTCTATTTATTTATGTGTCTGCAGGAAGGGGAGACCCACCTGTTGATGCTGCCACTGCTGTCCCAGGTACTCCTGGCCTGCTCCATTAGTGGTGGTGGGAGGGTTCTTCCTCTGCACCCGCTTCCAGGCTACTGGGGAACACCTGGGCCGGCAGGGGGAACCTGCCTGTCACTGTCCCTGTCCCAAGCTGAGCCCAGCTTCCCACATAGCTGATCCTCCCAGGCCCAACTGGAGCAGGACAGGAGCAGCTCTAGGATGCCCTCTGCCCCTGGGGACAGCAGTGGCAGGTGGGTCTCTCCTTCCTGTGCCCAGAGTTGTGAACAGAGAATGCCAGGGGAGAATGACATGGGAGGGAGATGCCACTGAGCACAGAGGGGTTGCCAAGACCTGCAGGGAATACTTACTTGCTTCAGGGACTTTACGGGGAAAAAAAGGCCCCAGCTGCTACTTCTGCAGCATGGTCTTGACTCTGTAGGGACCCAAGCATCTGGGGCTGTGGGGAACCAGATCTGCCAAGTGACATTTAGAAAGTGTATAGATCCACCTTTAGTGGTACTGGTGTTTTAACAACAGCACTAACTAGAGTTCCTTTTAGGTATTGGTTGACCTTGGCACATGTAATTCTTTTGTGGCTCGGTTTGAGTTTGCTACTTGTATAGCGTGTTTAAATCTTAGCTATCTGGTAAGGAAATACAAAATCACAGCTTTGGGATTGTAATGAGACCAAGACTTTATAGTGGCTGAGAGCCAAGTTGTTCATCTGCTATCCCAACAAAGCCAAGGGGCTGGAATGAGCAGTGCTGCAGCTCATGTTACGAGGATTGACGGACACTTACCCCCACACTCCTGCTTTGTGCAGATCTTTCAGTCCTGTAGATAACTAAATCATCCTCTGCCCTGCATCAGGACAGGGGAAAAAGCATACAAGAATTAGCCCAAATGGAGGATAGACTGGGAGCCCAATTAGTGCATCTATTCCCCAGTCAGGAGCAGTTTGCACAGAATTTGTTATTGGAAGAGACTTTTTTCTTTTGGCTATTTCTGGAGCCAAAAGAATATGCTGTCTCCACTAAGTCTATATGAACACTTAAGGATGTCCACATAATACTAGTGAATACCTGTTATTAAGCATATTCTAATGGCAGTTTGCAATGTATCTTAAAATACATTTCTTTTTTTGCTGTAGATTGCACTTGAAGTTGAAACTCCAACTCAGATTTCTTTAGTTGATGAAACATCGGGTGAGGTAATTATATATAAAAAAGGGGGAGTTTTGTATGGTTTGTTAAACATACAAATGGAAATTTAACTTTGAAATAAATATTATAATAACAAGCAATTTCTCCTTTTCAAAGCTATAAATAGCTAGGTGGAGTCCTCTTTTTTCCGCTCTTCTAATCTTCAGCTGTGCTCTTCAACTTTCCACTGCTCCTCTGATTCTCCATTCATGTGTCTCCACTCATGTGCCTTTTTCAGCCATACTGAAATGTGTCTAAAAACCATACTGAAATGCAGCTAGAAGCCAGGCATGCACTCAGCACTTTTCCCCATGCAGAGCCAGTGTGGGGTGAAGCAATGCATTTTGAGATTTGGACCTTCAACAAACAAGCTCTTAAAACTTGAGAAGGGGAATGTGGCTTGGTCCCTTTTGACCAGAATCCATGAGCTTGGTCTGAGACATAATCAGCTAGTCAGAAATGACTTGAAAGTCATTGCCATGCAGATTCTGAGTGGAACAGGGAAGAGAAGACCACACTCCTCTCTCAGTGAAGGTGTACCCAAGTACCACCAGAGGTTCAGAAGAGCCGTAGATTGATCTGATCACTTTCAGGGCCATGGTCCCACAGCCTGAGACTTGCACTAACCTGTTAATATGTTGGCTTGACTTTTTTTTAGAAAGAAGATATAGTGGTGACGCTTCTCCCAGCTGGTCACTGCCCGGGATCAGTCATGTATGTGCTGTCCACACTCAGTATGGTTTTAAATGTAAATGATGGCTTGTTGTAATAGTAAGTTCCATTTTTCTAGATAGAAGAAATGACAGTATCATTCTGATGATGTCTGTGTGTGTTCTTTTTTTTCCCACCCCCCTCCAAAACAAGCATAACAGTTGCACTCTGCTTATGAGAGGTTGACCTGCAATTGGGCCCCTCCAGTCTGGACATTTGTATTTGCACTTTTGGGCATGCAGCAGAAATACCCAGTCATACTTTTTTTCCCCTTGTTTTTTCCCCAATGCAATTTTTATTTTAATATTTTGTACGTATTTAACTCCTTATGATTAAACCTAAACCTAAGGTTTAACTGGTTGATGCCTCTGGGATTTTGTAGGAGCAATATCATTTCATTGTCTTTACAGATATTGTCATTCAGGGGGGAAAGACTGTTTTTCCTAAATCAAACTGAAAATGTGGTACTTATAAACAGGGTTGGGTTTTTTTAATGATTAAAACAATACTATAGTTTGCTAATGCATATGTTTGTTGCTATTCTGGTAGCCTCCTTTAAGATGAATAACAGTGGTTGTGCAGGATATACTAACAAAGTGGGAGAGACTTGCCTTCTCTGGGCTAAGTTATGCTATATTTTGTATTCTTATGAGTAGGTCATGACTGCAGTTGCTGTGTTCCAGAATCTTATTTACAAAGAGACTTTTCATATGGGTTTGGCTCTGAGCCCTGGGTTGGAAAATGTGAGACTTAAGGAAACAACTGAAAACTTAACCAAAGCAATCTAAACACATGGGTATTGCATATGGGATTGCATTTAAAATTTCTTATTTATAACTAAATCAAAACAAAGGAAATGGAGTCTGCCCATTACTCTACTTCTCACTTCACCAGTTGCTTCTCTAAATGGTGGTAACAAATAGTAGCAGAAAGTTGTAGCCTCTTATTTCACTTTCATGTGGGTGGTAAAACAGGGTTTCCTGGAGTGGTAAGCAGCTTGAGGAGGGGAAAAGCAACCTATTTCAGTATCATTTGATTCCAAATGTCTAGCATAATTCTCACGTGGATTGAGATGTATATTCCTCACAAATAGCCAACTCCTGCTTCCAATGAGAGAACTGCATCCACAGATCTTGCCCCTGAAAAATGCTTCATTTAGGCTAGGTACACATATTCAAAAAGCCTGATGAGGAATTGATTTAAGTAATGTGGATTTCTATAAGCGGTGTAGTTTAGATCAGTAGCAAACAGAACACACATTTGCCCTTTGGTGTGGGGCAACTCTTAGACCGGGTTCTGCCATTTTTAAGCCAATCTGTGTGGGTCGAACTTCTGTTCTGTTACGGGTATAGATTGATTTCTGATCGCTTATACCAGTAGAAGTGTAATGTCTGTACCTGGGCTCAGAGTTCTAGTGGTTTGGATGTCTCTTGGTAAACTATTCTAGTTTACTGCCTCGTTTGTTAAAAAATATCTCCCATTTGAACCTGTGTCGCTTCAGCTTACTGCCATTGAATCTAAATATACTTAGTATACTACTTCAGTGTGGGTTAGATAATATTATAGTAGCGGGTTATTTCATCTTTCAGCATCCTTACTTAAAGGTTGTTACCAAGTCATCCCCTAAGCTAGATAAACCAAATGGAAGGTAAAATTTTCCTGTGAAGCCCGATGAATATGAGAGATACGTAATGGCAAAGGTGGAGGAATCCTGACTAATATTGTGAAACAGAAAATTCCAAATTTTAAACTAGCATAGTATATATATGTTCTGGTCATTTTGACTTTATTCTGTCCTGCTTGGACAAAGTACTTCCTTCCTATCTTATCCAGAAGCAGCTCACACCTACCTTTAGAAACATTGATCACTAATATAGGTATATATGGCTACAATAGACAACTGAAGTCATCTTTCACCAATACAGATAAAAACCTCATAGACCAGGATTAAGGACAACAAAAAGTCCTTCTTCAAATACACTGGGAGTAAAAAGAGGGCACCGGATAATATAGGGCCCCTGTTAGACTCAAATGGCAATCTTGTGGCTACGCCAGACGAGAAAGCTGAAATTTTTAACAAGTTCTTTGCCTCTGTTTTCTTGGACAGGGATCAGGACAGCTCTCCCACCACAGGTAGGGGCAGTCTTGGGGATAGCACTGCCAGGCCTCAGGCCTGCGCAGAAGTAGTTCGGGATCTTCTGGAAGGGCTAGATGTTTTTTAAATCTGCGGGCCCTGATGCCCTCCACCCACGGGTGTTGAGGGAGCTGATGGGGGTCATTACTGTGCCCTTGGCCCGGCTGTACAAGCAATTGAAGTCCATGGGCCAGGTGCCCGGAGATTGGAAACTAGCTAATGTGGTCCCCATTTATAAGAAAGGGAGAAAGGAGGACCCATGAAACTGTAGGCCCATAAGCCTCACATTGGTCTTGGGGAAAATCCTTGAAAAAATTATCAAGGATCACTTCTGTGAGGGGCCAGCAGGGGAGATCATGCCCAGGGGAAATCAACATGGGTTCATCAAAGGCAGGTCCTGCCAGACCAACCTGATGGCCTTTTATGACCAGGTAGCTAAATCCCTGGATGATGGTGTCGCTGTAGACGTCGTCTTTCTGGACTTTAAGAAGGCCTTTGACGCTGTCTCTCACCCCATTCTCATTAATAAATTGAGCGACCTGTGGCATTGATGCCTACACAATGGATGGGTCAAAAATTGGCTGATGGGGCGCACCCAGAGAGTGGTAGTGGACGGGTCGTACTTGACCTGGCGGGATGTGAATAGTGGGGTCCCCCAGGGCTCGGTCCTGGGGCCTACACTGTTCAACATCTTCATCAGTGACTTGGATGAGGGGGTGGAAAACACGTTGTCCAAGTTTGCCGATGACATCAAGATGTGGGGAGAAGTAGGCATGCTGCAATTAGATTTAGACAGACTACAGAAGTGAGCAAATGGTAACAGGATGGGGTTCAATGTAGATAAATGTAGGCTGCTGCACGTGGGGAGAAGGACTCCACGGCATACATACAAGCTGGGGAGCTCCCCCCTTGTGAGCACAGAGGCGGAAAGGGATCTTGGAGTCATTATTGACTCCAAAATGAACATGAG